GTCAGATTTATATACATTCATGAATCAATTTTAATAGCCTAGCTGTACAGAACAGTTACGTCATTTGTTTAGGTTTTTTTTTTTTAATTAAAACAACATGCTTAAATGAAATGTTCCAAGTTCATAGAATGTTAATTGACCTTTTTCATTTGAAAAACATGCTTCACTAAATGTTTTATCTTTCAGCAATTCTGATTGTCTGTATTTTTACGTTAGAAAGGGAGGACAAATGTTATTTAAAAACAAGAATAAAAAAAACTCTGATGCTGAACAACTGCAATTACCCTATACTGTTTTATTTGGCTTGCATTTACAGTTTTGAATAGCTTGTTAATGATAAAGATGGCTATAGCAGTTGTGAAAAGAATTTGAGCTTTACAATTCACTTTGGCTAAAATCTATTGACATTGTCAATTAAAAATGAAGTTTGGAAAGATAAACATGTGTACATAAGAGTGTTTTGAACTATATCAGTCAACAGGATGTCTCTTTCCATTACATTTTTGATGAGCTTTGCAAGTACTGGACATATAAAATGTTAACTTTTAGTGAACAACCCTCAAAGAGGCTAAAGATGACATGACAGCAATTTTTAAACAAAAGATGATATCCGGACATGTGGGGGATGAACTACACATAGTTACATAGTTACATAGTATTTGAGGTTGAATAAAGACATTAGTCCATCAAGTCCAACCTATTAGGATCAGTATCCGAGGCTATATGCCTTTCACAATTTATTATGGATGCAAAACTTTAGCTGGCTGGTGGAGTCAAAGAAAAACCTTAAAATATATGTAAACCTAGCCCCTAAAGGCCTGTTCACACCAAAATTGCAAAGAAATCACAAGTCAATGGAGCGTCTGTTGACTTTCAATTGTACTTTTCCGATTTCCTTCTGATCCATTGTGTTGCAATCCATCTTTCAATGGGCACCAAAAAAATAATGGGTGTGAATGGGGCTAGTTCACATCAGATCCATTGTGTTATCTTTCCCTGAAAAGAAGTAGTGCTTTTTCAGTTGCATTTTTTCAGTGCAATGTAATGCAACATAACGGAGTAGTGTAAACTGACCCCTATTCACACCCATTCATTTTTCCGCTTCAATCCATTGAAACATGTATAACAATGAATTGCAATGCAACAGCACCAGGGTGAATTGGCCCTAAAAGCTCATGTAACATGATGATCCTGTCATGAAGATCCTTGTTGATGCACTTACTGTTGTAGGGTGACAATGCTCTGTACTTTAACTGTACAACGGGCTTTTGATGGAGACTACAAGTGGCCATTCAACAAACATTACATAGATATGGTTAACTGTTGTCACTATCAGAAGATTGGACCTGAAAAATACAATGCAGCTGTCCAGGGGTGTCCCTAGACTATTCCCTGCCTGATGTGAGAGATGTTGCTGGTGCATGTTATGGGGAGAGGTGGCTCATGGCAACCAGTGACACAACTGGTTGCCACGAGCGGGCAGGACGCCAGCCAGAGCATCACAGGTTGCCAGGAGCTCTTAGCAACCTGGGACACTCTGAACGGAAACCAAGCGGCATATACACCTGGATCCCCCCTCATATGACCCAATGAGATGCCACCTCATTATAGGCACACCCCTGCAGCCATTATTAGAGTGCAAGGACATATGCAAAAAGAGGCTATTAAAAGCCTACATGCAATTAGAAGCTCTGAAATGCTACAAAGGATAAAAATAGGTGAAAAAATCATTTTATTTAAAAATGGCAAATGTTTATTATGTGAGGGATTGCATCTACTTTAAAAAGTAAGTATTGTGGAAATTGCAATTGTTCTATATTATTTAGCCACTTTAGATGGAAACTGTGCCCAGCAGAATCCTTCTTTAATTAAATGTGGTATTATAAAGGACTACTGTGTGAACTGAAAGGTCCAGGAATACACCAAATACTGTGTAAGTAGCTTTCTAAACTTAAATTGTTTCATTAAAATGTCTTCTGAGGCAAATTAATCTAAATGACTTGCAAAATAAAAACTTTCTGTTTTACATATACAGCATTTACTAACTGCTTGATCTTACCTCCGAAGTAAATAATGTGAGTTCAGCATATTTAGTCATAAGACAAACTATGTCATGTTGGTAGAAGAATTGAATCATTTGAAATGTTTAGAATCCTGTGTTCAAGTTGTTATTAAAAGCCCTAATGCACAGCTTCAGGAAACCTCCATGGGAAGTACAGTGAGGGATGAGGAATGTAATGGGTTAAGTATACTTTTTAATATGCTGTGATTTCCCAGAGATGTGATTTCTATTTCCTTTCTCTTCTATTTTGTAATGGAATTAGCCACAGCAATAGATGATGTGGCCACCAATGGCACGGACTGGAAGCAGTGCTAATGGTACTACTGAAAGTGTTAGGAGAGCTGAATATTGAATAGGATGGCCCAGAGGTACTTTATTTCCAAAGGTATTACCTGGAGATCTCCTTTTAATATTAAATGTGAAATTTAAAGTAGATGTAAGAACAGAATATAACAACCCCCATGGCAACTCTAAAAGTGCTTATTCATTCGATTATGTATAATTATACAAAATCGGCATAAATTACCTTTATTTACTTGTGTACTGGCAGAGATTTTGCTGAGGGGGGGGGCCATCAAGACAGGAAGTGGTGTTGCCTCTTCAGACTCCATGCATGTGAGGGACAGCTGGGGAGAGGAGATGCTGTATGTTCCTGTCAATTTTGGCAGTGTTTAAAAGGAAAGCCAAAAGAATATGCATAATAGTAGAGTGGTGGAGATTCTGCGTCCCGTCAATGCTGTGCAGACCAGCCATTTCAATAGTCGCTGAATAGTGTTGTCAGCCCGGCATTGAAATCAAACAGTACTCAAGGAAACTGGCAGGATCACCAGGTAATGAAGCATGTTGTTAATGGACATATATTATGGTGACCTTGCAAAAGACACTTTTTCACTTTTGTTTGGAGAGACACTTTAAGCTAGAGCCCCTGGCTCCATTTCATAAAATTGTGAAACTTTCTGTTCAGTTTTTTTTTTTAATCCTTGTAATTCTACAAGAGGCTCATAATACACCAGATATGCAAGGGGCAAATACATTCTGCTTTATTCTCCATACAATGCAATATGAACAAACACCTGGTAAACACTAAACGTGCCATTTAGTCCCTGTAGAAGTCCAGATCAAGAGCAATATATATATATATTTATTTCCCTAAAGTGTATAGTTGAATTTTGAAATACAAACACCAGAAATTTCTACAAGTCATTGCAGAGTGTCAGGGTCTTAACAGGCTGCTTTTATTTCATTTTTGCTCTGTGACTCACTGCTCATAATGTTAAACAATCACTTCACAGTTGTAAGGGTGTAACGTTTTCTAAAGTTACTCACCTACACATTTTTTTCTAAGAATGCTATAAAAGTTTGGCTTTCATTCAAAGAATGTTTAAAACAGCTCATTGTACTCAATAGTAGAAAAAAACAATAAGAACAGATCTGTAAATAAAATGTTAGAAATGCACTTGATTTCTGTGCTATACTTTAAACACTATTACATTTTACTTATAAACCACATTCCTTGCATCTCCTGCAGTGGACAATTGCTTTTATTGAAAAGAAAATTCTTAATGTGGTAGAAAGTCAAAAGGGGTATTAAAACGCCATACATGGGCTAACCTGACTTCTCTGTGGAAAATTTAGATTTAAAGGGGTCATGCAAGCAAGATGCAAAACAATCCATGGAGATTGGAAAGGGTTAATATTATGACAAACATCCTAGGACATTGTAGATTTTTCTGCCATGCGTGGCTGTTTTAGCAAATAGGGTTGTCTATAGAATAAACCAAAGACAATAGCATTATCATCATGGCTAGTGACTAATTATTATGTCAATTATCACTTCATGAATAGTCTAACTCATTCCTGGGGAATTCAGTTGATTTCCAATAAAGCAGTGGCTCATGTTCAGGTTTGAGATCTTACTAAACACCTGATACTTATATGTGTTTTCCAGGTCAGTGACTTACTAACTACTGAGGAAAATATAAGGATCACAACCCTGAAGCAAATCCAGTCAACAATGGCAGCTTTACTTTTTCTGTCCTGACAGGTTCTGTTCATGCCTTGTTAATTGCCTTTTTAAGAATAACTTCATGTGGATTCTTTGAAGCTAATCTGTTCTCTCATATACAGACAAATTCTGGGCTTTAATGTTGATTCTTACTTTTCTTGTGCTCACCTATTGGCCTGTTCATCTGTCAAAAGTCTAATAAAAAATGGGTGTAAGTACAAAGTGGACCTGGGTTGGCGCTTACACAGGCCTGAGGACCCCCAACCCACATATAAGAGCACATGAGTTTTGTAATGTATTGCTCAGGAGCTGAGTGCTACTTCATTAGAGGATAGGTAGGGAGCCACATGCCTCCCATACCACTGAGTAATGGGTATCTCTTGTGACTTTGGCAGGAAAATGGGCAACAAATATGACTAGTAGATGGGCTCTGCTCTCATAGGTATATGTTACTTTGGATTGGCAAAGTACAGTTTTACATAGTATGGTAGAACAGTGTGGCAAAAATCTGTGTGGAGATTTACTGTTGATAATCTGTCTGAGTTTTACAAATATAAATGGATGTATTATACGGTTTGAAACTTATGCTAAATGTCATAAATGAGGTTGTGGGGCAACAATTCACACAACATATTCAGGCTATTAAAAAGTCAGTTGTGGTTCTAACACCTTGCTAGTTATTGAATTTAAACCATAAAAGTGTAACATAAAGTAAAATATTATTATTTTGAACAAATGTGGGATATTATTATTAGTAGTTTCAAATTCTCACATTATTACCAATAATACACCCAAGTAAATTATTACTTTGCAGCAGTACTCTTAGAAGTTTATTACATGTCTTTACAAGTGTGAGAACCTCTGATGGTACAGTAAATAGAGACTTAAAACATTCCATATAAGCACATGAAAAATATCACGTCACTATGTTACCTTTGTAGGAAAGCTTGAGCCGAGGAATATTCTGTTTCAAGCTGTCAGTTGCTGGCAGAAACATTAGTACAGCCATTGATAGCATGGTGGGGAAATACTGTGGTCTAAGCCATCTGCTGGAACATTTGTGACACTTCTTTTTCATGGCGATGTATCTGGCACGTCTGTCTTAGGAGTTGGCTGACTGCAAATAGAAAAATACCATTATTCTGTCAGAAAGATGACATGGCATGAATGGTATATATTAAGCTTGCCAGCATAAAGAAAAAAGTAGATATAGCATAATATAACCATATTAATAAATGGCACATAAGTCAGAAGGTTGTAGAATGATTAATTGAAAGGCATCTGCACAAGGAAACTGTATGACACATGTACTTCTTACATCTACATGATGTACACTATAATTTGCTTTGGGACATGTGTAGACAGAAACTAAGATTGATAGAAACCAATGGAACCTTCAAAGAAGACTGCAAAATAGCAAACAGAAAATGGGCTAAAAGGTTATTTGCTCTTTGATCATAAAAAAATCATACTTTTTGCGTAGGGGATTCTGAGGATTAACCTATTTATGCTAGAGCAAACTATTATACTTAATTTCCAGTTATATGCCCTTATTTCCTATAGTAAATTACAGGAAAATAAAAGGGTGCTAAATATTTATGAATAATTCCAGGCAACAGGTGAAAGCATTCAGCAAGGCAGAAAACACTGTTACACTGCCTGGCATTTGACTTTAATCCTACCCTTGTGTAACCCCCTCCCCCCCCAGTAGAATATGACCACAGGACTCCACCAGTGGCGTAGCTACAGGGGGGCAAGGGGGGGCAATCGCCCCCCTAGGTTATCACTTGCGCCCCCGCTAACAGTGGCAGCAGTCCCGGCGCTAGCGCAAGGCAAGAGAAATGGAATCCCTGTCCCAGCAGATAACTGTGCCCGGGACAGTTATCACACAGTTATCTGCTGGGACAGGGGTTCTCCCCGCTGCAGCCTCACAGACTGTCAGCGGTTTCTCCCTACAGGCTGTAGCGATCTGTGTCAGTGGGGACAGATTGTCGATTACAGCCTGTAAGGAGAACCCACCGACATTCTGTGAGCCCCCCCCCCCTGCAGGCGGTT